TTAAATAAATCTACAAAAAAATGGTTTTTTAGTTGAAAATGAACGTTTTGCTTCTATAAAATAAAAAAAATTTTATTGTTACATTATTTTGTTTGTTGAGCTTATTAAAATATAAATTAAAGCAAAAAGATATTTATTATCAAATAAAAATTTCTTCAAAATTAAAGTCGAATTTAAAAAATTAAATTAAAAATTAATTAAAAATTAGAATTAATGAAGTTTCTTTAATTTTACATATTTATTAAATTAAATTAATTTTATTTTTCCCAATCGAATTTTATATTTATTTAGTTAATTCTTTAATCAGAGCTATAGATATAGCTTCAATTTCTTTCAAATATTCATTATTAAGTTTAATATTTTTTAAATAATTATCAATTCTTTTAATTCCTTCATTATCAATTGCTCCTTCCTTTCCAAAGCTCTCATATTTATAAATAGATTTTAAGAAATTTTGTGAATTATTTACAGCTATAGAGCATGTTTCTATATGTTTTCTTGCATCATTGATAACTTCGCTGTATTGTTTCTCTATAATTTATTCAAAGAAATTAATTAATAAATGGAACTCAGAAAGTGAAATGTAATTTCGAACAGGGAACAGGGATTCGAAACAGATGTTAGTGCACGTGACAATTTCAAAAAATGCAAAACGCAACGAAGGCCAAAAAACGCAGGTCGCATGAATCACTGCAAAAATTATGAAAAATTTAGATGCCAAAGGAGACAGCTTTTTTGAGAATTTTGGATAGACAAGAAGCCAGATTTCTTCACATTTTTGCGTATAATCAGTATATACTCGACTGATATACTTAGTGACAAAATTGGCATGCTTCATTAATGACCAGTTTTTAGAAATTTAAAATTTGCTTTGTACGTGTACTTTGTAAGAGCCTTTTTCCATACTAATTTTTTCGTAAATTCAATTATGAAAGATAATTTTAGTACGCTCTTTCAAATATAGTTAGGGACAACAGATTCCTTTGTAAATCACTACCGAACTATTATTTATACCTTTAATATTATTGGTGCCCTCATAATGTTCTTGTTCAATTTGTTTTTGAATTTCGTTATTTACTTTATTTTGGGATATTTTTCCTTTACCAGTTGCTTAAGATATAAATTTCAAATTATATTCAAAATTTAAAAACAATTACCATTTTGGACTACTTGTTTGAAATTGTCTTGGTTTGCTTGTAAGAATATATCTAATATTAAAATGTTATTTAAAACATCTCTAGAAGGTAGGAACTTGTGATATTTTGATTTAAATCCCATCACTTATGACCCATAGAAAAATTTAAAATGTTGCGGATGGGAAGATATCGAATCGTGTTTTTGATGTGGTTTTCATAACTTTTACTAATGGGGCTTCGGATTTCTGGTTAAAAAAGACCTGGTATCTGGTTTTTGATAACCTGTGACTCACTGAAATAGAGTTAAAAAAATAAAGCTAAAACTAAAAAGTCAAAAAATTTTTAAGTTTGTTGATTATTAATTTCTCATTTTATTAATTCTACTACATTGTTCAAGGGTTGTAAATTATAATTTAGTGTGGTTTCATGGATCGGGCTTCGGAGTTTGGTAATCGAGTAGCTGGTTTTGGACTTCGCTAAAATGGGGTCGAAAAATAACCCGAATCTATGAAATTCTCAACTTTTGAGCTTGTCGAGCTCTACATAATTTATTCTCTGATTAATTTTCATACATTGATCAGTAGAATGTAATTTGTTATTTTGTGAGGGTTCATTAATTAAGCTTCGACTATTACTAGCATATTTCTCTTTATTATCTAATCTTTTATATCTTTCAAGTTCATAATTAATTTTATCTACGTTTATCGTTTGTGGATTATTTCTATTCAATTTACATAATGAAGAAATCCTTGGATTATTTTCTTCAAAATTTTGAACTGTAATATGATAGATATTTTCTATATGATTTTCATATATCGCTTCATCACATTCTAGTGGGATTGAAGGCTAAATAATTTCAATTTCATTTTCATATTTTCAATTACTCTTAATAAAATTGATACCCAGGTCGTATATTATACATTTAGCATAAATACAATTTTTGGCTCTATTGCAGTTTATGAGTCTAATCGTGCTTTATGAGTCCATTGAAAATTTTATGAGTCCAATAGGTTTACGTTTTTTTCCATTTATCGCCTATTAATCCCAAAATTAAATTTTGATTTTTTATTAGTCCTTTAGGTACCTGAGGACAATATTTAAATAATAATTTAAAAAAATTGTGGTCTAAAAGGAGAAAACACGAAAATAGTGGTGGAACTATAGTTATTTGGATCACTGTACTCATATATACTGCAGTAGAAACCAATTTTTAAACTTTAAAGTTTATTTTTAAAGGATCTTATAGACAGATAAAAAAGCTTTGATTTCGATCAACAGATCCGAAAAATGCCACCAAAATATTCCTGGTAGAGTGAATCTTTTAATAAACTCACAATATTATATACATTTTCCTCTACATTAAGCGAATATTTATCATCTTTACAAACACGACGATTATGATATAATGTTGAATAATATTCCGAATATTCAACTAAATCAAATACAAGTTGTTTGTTCAAACAAGTTATGCTCATTTTTAGTGCTTTTTGAAATTTATTTACAATAAATTTAAGCACTCTTGTAGGCCTCTCAAAATCCAAAAATTCTGTTTTAACAGTAGAATTGAAAATTTTATGTTTTTCTGTGGGAAGCAAGGGAATTATGATTGCCTTGTCTATTCCTCCATCAATTTGCACTGGCCCAAGTAAATTCTTTAAAGAATAAAAATTTTAGTTCTAAAAGTTTAATTGATAATCCGTTGTGTTTCGGTTTGTGCCGGACCATGAAGGCCTTTTTCTTTAATTTGTTTTAAAAATCATTTTAGGATCATAGATTGCATTCTAAAGACCATATGGTAAATATCTAGCTCGTCGTCCACATGTGCGCAACTGACTTTCTGCGTAAATGCATTTTTTGCTGCATTCTTCTTTCTCGAGAAAAATAGAGATAGCTTATCAGCCTTTTTCAAGGATTCGATCCAGAATAATCCTCAAGACTGCTCGAATTCACAATTTTTTACAGGTCAGAAAATTAATAAAATTTATCTCTTTGTTACCTGTTTATTAAACAAAACCTCCAAATTATAATTATTCCTTTGAAAAGCTATAGGGGTTTTATCATCTGTAGATAATTCATACTTTTCAAATTTACAATAATCATATTTTTCTGTCATTTTTGAATGCAAATTGTATCCATAAATATTATTTTTCACATAAAGTTTCACCTCAAAACGATTTTTATCCGACTGATCAAGTTGATTAAATAATTCTTGGGGCAAACTTTTCTCATATTTTCTCCATTCAATTTTAATATAAAGATTACTTTTAATTATTTTGTAAAATTCAAAACAAAGTATTATTTTAATTAAATAAAATAATTTGTATATTTGCATATCTAAATATGTATTATTAAAAGTTAGTTTAGGTTTCCTGTGTATTTCTCGTAGGAAACGGCTCAAGTAGAGTTGAAAAATAAACCCTGAATTCTCTAGACAAATCATAGCGAATTTTTAAAATCTAGAAAGGAAAATGTATTTTATTTTCCAACAAAATGTATATATAAGTGACTTAATGAGTAAGTAATGAATAAATCTTTGTTAAGAAATATTATTTAAGAGAATTAAAGTGCATGGGAATTAAAGTGCATGAGAAATCTTAAATATTAGGAAATTTGTTATTTTTTAAAAAGGAGATTTAATTAATTGTTGTAGGGAGAGGAGGATTAAAGGAAGGATAAGGATAAACATTCCAGAAAAGGATTGTCTTTCCAGAAGAGGAAAGACTAATATAAACTGTCTAAGACAAATTGAAAATAAGGATGCTTCCTTATTTCTACAGGCCTTTCTATGTGTTCTTAAAAAACCTTTTCACATCCTTATACTTGTTGGAGGCCTGTGTTAGAATTGCTTTGACTCTTTGCTGGACTGTCCGTTAAATGCCATTTGTTCAAACAATAATGCTTTTTCAAATGCTCTTTCTTCATGTGTTTGCTCGACAAAAAATTAGTTTTTTTCAAACTATTTGATATTTGATCAAATATTTGACTTTTTTTTGGCCTCAACAAACAAATATTTCATCAAATTATTTGATATTTATAAATGTTTAAGAAAATCTGATTTTGAATTTAATCAAATATTCGATTTTCTGCCGTCAAATATTTGTTTGGTCCTATCTCTAACGAACACCCCATAGACACCCAGCATAACCTCCATGAACCCATATGTTATCTTCCAAAATACCTCTCGATATGACAACACAAAATACGAATTTACTCTTGTAACTGTATCAAATGAAGTCATTAAATTCTTAGCAAAATTTTTTGAAAAAATTATCAACAACACCCCATCGAATTTTCTTAAAAAAGAATTTTATCGTTGTTTTTCTGTCAATTTGATAACAAAATAATTAAATTATTTACTTATAACATTAATTTTATGCTATAAGTTAATAGGTAATAGTGTCGTTTCCAGTCCGCATTTTTTCCTCCCAATTTTTCACCCTATGTTTGTACGGAATGGTCAAATTTTCCCCTTTCTTTCACCAAATTTGCCTTTCCATATTTTGCCTAAAAACAATCAAAAAGACTTCTTTTTCCTTCTATAATAGCCAGAAAACATTTTCCATGCTTGGTGTTTCTCCTTGTGAAAGAACTGAATAAAAAATTAATCTTTTTGATTGTTTTTAGGCAAACTATGGAAAGGCAAATTTGGTGAAAGAAAGGGGAAAATTGACCATTCCGTACAAACATAGGGTAAAAAATTGGGAGGAAAAAATGCGGACTGGAAACGACACTATTACCAGTTAATAGATTAATCAATTTTTCTCAAAGTTCTTATAAAATAAAATATAAAGTTAGGAAAAGCAAAAATTATTTTAATATTTTTCTGAATTATTATTATTATTTGATTTTTCAAATATAAATTAATTTTCAATGAAAGTTGTTAGTTCCATTGAGGAAATCAGGTTTTTTATTAGAGAGAAAAGGTATGAGGCAATAAGGAATGATCAGGAATTATGGTTAGTTTATGTTTTTATAAAAGGTGGTACTCTCCAAATTAACCCCAACTCTCCAAATTCCAAATTGCCCCAAATTTCAAGGACTCTCTGATCTATAGTATTACCAACATGATTTGGTTTAATCAGAATTGGATTAGTTTGTAGTAATCCAATTCTGATTAAAGCAATTCATGTTGTTACTACTATAGATCAGAGAGTGCTTGATCTTTTAAGAATCATGTCCCTGCTATAGACAGCTAGTCGGTGATACTTTAAAGTGGAATAAAAAACGGGAAAAAATCAGACTGTAATGGAATAATCTACACTAAACCCCTCCTCTCCACTAAACCCCACCCTATCCCCCCCCCCTCTATCAAAATTAATCTCTCAAATAATTTTTTAAGTGTTAGTTTTGTTCCAACAATGGGTGCTTTACATGATGGGCATTTAAACTTAATTAAACAAGCAAAACAACAACAATCAAAAAATACTTTAGTTGTTGTTTCTATTTTTGTTAATCCTTTACAATTTGGACCAAATGAGGATTTTGATCGTTATCCAAGAAATTTAACAGAAGATTTGGAAAAATTAAAAGAATTGGCTGATTGTGTTTTTACTCCAGAAATTAAAAATATTATTGGCAAAGAAGAATTAATTAAAATGGATGCTGGGCCTGTTAGTAAAGTTTTGGAAGGGAAAACGAGGCCTAATTATTTTGATGGTGTTTTGACTATAGTAGCCAAATTATTTAATATTGTACAGCCAGATGTTGCTTTGTTTGGGAAGAAGGATGCGCAACAGGTGGGGGAAATTATGGGAATATTCTGTAAAACATATAGCTATTTAATTCCTGACGCTGTGCAATAGGCGGCGTGGTGTAATGGATAACACGTCAGTCCAGTTACTGAAGATGTGTGCCCGAATAACCGAATGCCCGAAGTGTCCGAATAATCGCCACAGTGCCCGAATAACCTTTTTTACTAGCTAAAGGAGAGAAATAGCTATAGCCAGCTGCTTTACTATTTTGAATTTTTGTTTAGATTTTTTTATAAAATTTATTCTGATTTTTATTTGGATATTATTCTTTTGTGATCGGTATTTTCAGAGGTATATTCTGATTTTTCTGAGTTTTTGCTCCGATTTTTTCTGATTTTTATTTGGATATTATTCTTTTATAATCTGTATTTTCAGAGGTATATTCTGATTTTTCTGAGTTTTTGCTCCGATTTTTTCTGATTTTTATTTGGATATTATTCTTTTATAATCTGTATTTTCAGAGGTATATTCTGATTTTTCTGAGTTTTTGCTCCGATTTTTTCTGATTTTTATTTGGATATTATTCTTTTATAATCTGTATTTTCAGAGGTATATTCTGATTTTTTGACTATTATTCTATATTATTAGGACAGTCTAATTTTTGTTCTAATTCTTCTGTATCTTTTTTTTCTCTCAAACTACATTCAGCTTTCTTACAACTTTTAACTCAATTTTTCAGCTATTTATTATACAACAAATGGTTACTTCACTCAATTTCCCTGTACAAATAATTTCCATAGAAACACAACGAGAACCAGACGGACTAGCTTATTCTAGCAGAAATAAATATTTAAATTTTGAAGACAGAAAACTTTCCTTAATTTTATTCAAAACTTTAAATACTGGTTTAGAAGAAGCAAAAAAGGGGTCAAAAATGACAAAAATTTTGAGGGAAATGAAAATTTATTTTGAAGAAAATAATAATTTAAACAAAATAATTTTGGATTATTTAGTTGTTGTGGAAGCTAAAACTTTCAAACAAATAGAAGAGGATGGATTTAAAGGGGAAGCTATTTTACTTATTGCTGCCATTGTTGGGGGAACTAGATTAATTGATAATATTGATGTTAAGATTGGATGTTGAATAAATAAATAAATTTTAATAATAAAATAATATTACATAAATACCTTATTTCTTCTAATAGTGCAACTCTCTCTTTTAGACAGCCCCTCCTAATAAACAACCCTCTAGAGTATGGTTGAGGTATAAACCGACCCTCTAGACTAGAGATCGGACAAACGGCAAAATCAATTATCAAATCAAATTATTTGATATTTGATAATATTTTAAAAAAATTTGATTTTTTTCAAAACTCATCAAACAAATATTTGATCAAATAAAATTTGATCAAATATTTGATTTTCCTACGTCAAATATTTGTTTGGTCCGATCTCTACTCTAGACGATGGTTGAGAAATAAACCGACCGGTCGGACCATTAGAAGATTACGGTATTATTTATCTTTCAAAATAATTAATTCAAATTCACTTTTTATTTACCTGATATTTTAAATCTTAATGGTAATATTTTTCTCCAGGATGGGACCAAGTGATTTTGTAGCAAATTTTGTGCCCTGCCCTTTTTGTAGGGCCAAAAAGAAAAATTTTTTATGAAATTAATATTCAATTAAATATTTTTTTATTTAAAAAATATTTATACATCATCAAAAGACGTCACCTTTAAATTCTTAAAAAATCTTCAACCTTATATTAAAAAATTTAAATTGTAATTAAAATTTTGTTAAGATATAATTAACATATTAATTATTAATAATTATAAAGAAAAAATTTTTTCTGTTTGTCTTTAAGGAGTTAAATAAATACCAGGTGAAATAAATACAAGGAAAATTAAATAAATACCAGGTTAAGTTTTCTCAAACTCTAAATTAAAAACTTATTTTTAATCTTTTGTAAAAATGTCATTGGATATACTTGATATTTTATTTAAATTAGATTATTTTGTTTGTTTATTAATTGGTTTTCCTTTAAATATTATTCTGATTATTTTAATTATTTTTAAAACACCAAAAGAAATGAAAACACACAGTCGAATTCTGATACAAAATTGTGTTTTGGATATTTTAATGTTGATTAATCAAATGTTTGTTCAAGGGGTAATTCAAAAAATGCCAATAATTAATTTATTATAAAAATGAGAATTATTTAATTTTATATTTATTTATAGTTTTATATACTTGATACAGAAGGGAATACAATTGTAATTTTTCCTAATGGAATTTTGCTTACAAGGAACAATATCGAACTGTCACCAAAAATTTCGGAATAATTTTTATACCATCGTGTAGAGCATAGTCGAAAACCTATTATGGTGCCCGTCTTTTTCGGCCCTGACCCCCATTTCGAAAAGTTATAGGGCTTCAAAGTTTTCGACTTTTGGAGCGGTTGAGTCGCCCTCACTTTTCCTTTTCTTTTCTCCTTTCTTCTCTCCTTTTCTTCTCCCTTTGCTTTTCTTTCCTTTCTTCTACCTTTTCTTTACTTTAAAGTGGTCGAGTAAAATGTGTTAGCTTAAATCAGGGCTCCGATTCGTACTTTTTTAAAAGTATTGTACTTTTTTATCGACCTTCGTACTTCCGAAATTGAATTTGTACTTTTTTGAAAGTATGTACTTTTTTATCAACATTTTTGAAAAAATGAAGAAATCTGGCTTAAGGACCTCCAAAATTCTTAAAATTTTCGCCTGCGGCGCTGAAAAAGAAGAAATCTGGCTTCTTAGGCTCCAAATTTCAAAAAATTTTCGCCTGCGGCGCTTCTCAATGGCAAACATTCAATGGACGAAAGAAACTCGCTTGAGGTTAAGATTGTCAGAGCTTTGCTTCATGTGACAGCAAATTTTGACATGTCAACAAAATACTCAGTTGAAACAAGAAATTATTAGAAAAGATTAATTTAGGAGAGAAATATGAAAGATCTGATCACGAATAAATATTTTCAAATTTAATTTTGAGTGTACTTTTTATTTGCAAATTTTCTCCCTATGTACTTTTTTTACAAGATTTTGATACTTTTGAGTGGCATTTTGTCGATCGGAGCCCTGGCTTAAATTATTTAAATTTTATGTGTGAAAAATGAAAAATAAGATATAATATGGTCAAAAAATTAAATCATTTAAAAATACATCGTTCAAAAATAATCCTCCCGTTAAAAATAATCCTCCCGTTAAAAATAATCCTCCCGTTAAAAATAATCCTCCCGTTAAATGAATGCTTTAATTAAATGCCTTGAAAATACTACCCTTTCCTTTAATGAGCCTGATGAAGTCTTATTAGACTTCGATTCTGACAACGATGATTTATACACGGATTCTGATGAAGAAAATTCTAATGAATCCATGAATCGTGACCCAACCAAATCCAAATATCCCTATGAAACTCAATTGGAAATAGTCAATCACTTAAACGCTGGGAAGACATTTCAATTTATTTTACATAATTATAAGAAATTAAAAAGTAACAAAGAAATTATTCGAATTCGTGATTACGTTAATAGAGGTGGTACGAATTTTCTTAAGTTAGCAAAATTAGAGCAAGAAATCCTCGAACAGTTTATTGCTTCAAGAGAAAGAAATGAGCCAATTCACGATATAGATTTAGTAGAAATGGCTCTTATCAAGGCTATTAAGTTAGGACTACCAGATTTTAAGGTATTAGACTATAAGGACTTAATATTAAATTATATTTAAACATTAGGCATCAACTTACTGGTTACATACGTTTAAAAGGAAAAATAAAATAGTGAGTCGGAGACTAGAGAAAAGGGAGAAGAAAATGAAAGAAAAGGTAGAAGAAAGGAAAGAAAAGCAAAGGGAGAAGAAAAGGAGAGAAGAAAGGAGAAAAGAAAAGGAAAAGTGAGGGCGACTCAACCGCTCCAAAAGTCGAAAACTTTGAAGCCCTATAACTTTTCGAAATGGGGGTCAGGGCCGAAAAAGACGGGCACCATAATAGGTTTTCGACTATGCTCTACACGATGGTATAAAAATTATTCCGAAATTTTTGGTGACAGTTCGATATTGTTCCTTGTTAGTCTTATGAACGAGAATTTTAATCCATTCATATTTTATATTGTTTTTAATGTTTGGATATTTATTTCTTATTTAAATACACATGGATTGTCTGTTCAATTTATTTATAGATATTTAATCTTGAATAGGTATTTAATCTAATAAAAATATCAAAAAATTTTTTGTCTTAAATGATAATTTTGTGTCGAGTACAGTGTAAAGGTCTGTACGAGTACGAGCAAAATGGCTTCTCGTACACTGGCATTAAATTCTTAAGGAAAATTAAAAAAATATTTATAATTTCTCGAGTTTTCTTTGTGTTAATCAGTGGTTTTGAATCCATGGTTAAGGCGACTGGCTCCACTTACTTCGTTATTTTTATAGGCGAGGGTTCGTATTCAGGGCTGTAAATGATGCTGCAAAATCTCTTTTTCAAAAATCTCAACTAAGAGAAAGCACGAGTGCGATTACGAGGGCAAAAATAGGGATTGTACTAGTACGAGACAAGAAAAATTAGGCAAACACGAGTTTTTAAAAATAAATTAAATATTAGAAGGAATATGAAAATTAATTTTCGTTATTTATCTATGTTCTCCATTGCTTTATTTGTGACGTTATTTTACATTTTGGATTTAATTTTGTTTATCGATCCGTATTCTTTTGGAGGTATTAAATATTTTGATAATTTTAACAAAACTTGGCCATTTTTTCAATGCAAAATGGAAACAGTAATTTTTAATTGAATTTATGTTTTTTAAAGTATATTTAAATTCAGAAGAATATTTTTTTACTTTTACCTGTAGTTTTAATTGAAATATCTGCATATTCAATTATAAGTATATGTGGAATCAAAATGGTTAGATATGTCAATTTAAACACTAATATTGATGCAAATTTAAAAAGATTGAATAAACTTTTAACAAAAGTTTTGATTATTTTGGTAGGTTTTTGATAGAAAATTTGTTTAAGAAAAAAATTTTAACTCGGTTAGAATTTACCCATTAATAATAAAAAATACAGTGGTAAAAAAAGAATGGAAGCACTAGAAAATTTTTTTAATTCTTAATTTTTCATTCAAAAAATACGTTCTATATAGCAATCAAAAGCTCTATTTGTATCTCAGTTGACATGTTTCTCATTTTTCATGAAAATGAAAATTGGCCGAGATAATCCGTATCTTTCTAGTGCTTCCATACTTTTTTCCACCACTGTATGTTCATTTTAAGGTAAAAACCTGATATTTAATCCAGCAATTTCTAGACTGTATTCTTTTTTAAAAATATTTCTATTATACTAAGATAAATAATTTTTTAAATTTAAAAATGTTAGGTTGGCTTCTTAAATCACATTTTTAGGCTATTGTACCTTTTGTTAATCACACTGGACTTATGTTTATTATATTCTATATAAAAACAACAAACATCACAATAAACATTATTCGAATATTAATTTACATTTCTTTTCATTTTATCCCAGTATTTAACCCAATAATTTGTATTTTAACAAACACACCATATCGAAATGCTTTATTTAATCGTGCACAAGTAAATCCGCAGTAATTAACTACTTATACACTGCGTTCCAAAAGTATATGCACCCCTAGTTTTTTGATTTTTTATACATTTTTCTTTGTTATTTTGATTAGACTTTTTGTCTATCTATTCTTCTAGATAAATGTGTATCTTTAAATAAAAAAATAAAAATTTCCCCAGGCCCGTTTCATTTTTATACAAATTTTTGCAAAAATTCACTGTTCCAAAAGTATATGCACCCCCTTCTAAAATTTTTATTTAGCAATCAAAAAATCCAAAAAAAATTCTTTAAAGATATAGATCGATATAGATACGAAATACAAAAGAAACGAACTTCTGACATCATTCTATCATCGAGATCCTGATACCCCGAAAATCAACGTAAAACAGGGGTAAGCCTCTTTAAAAAATATTTTTTAAAAGTTTTTATTTTTAAAAAATATTTATTTTTTTATTTAAAGATACACATTTATCTAGAAGAATAGATAGACAAAAAGTCTAATCAAAATAAAAAAGAAAAATGTATAAAAAATC